TTGGAAGAGTTTGGGGGAGAGCTCAGGTGAGTCCCTACCTTTACTCTGCCATCTTGTCTCCACCTCATTGTGCTTCCTATACCTTCAAAAAGCAGGAAAATGTGCTCCAAGACTCTACCTGTACCTCACAGTTTTTTACGCAAATCTTTTCCCTCTTTTTCACATCCCTCAAATTCCTATGCCATTGCAAACATAAGAATTCCTGAAGTTGCTGTAACCCAATAACAAAGTCATCATACTTTTGACTTCTCACATATTTCTGCCATATTTTTAATAAAGAACTAAAAATAAGAGACATAAAGTGATAGAGACAGAGATAAAGAATATATAAGGAACAAGTCAGATTAGCAGTAGGAAAGAAAATGATTAAAAGTACAACTTGTCCAATTTTTCTCCAGAAGGATATGTTGTCTCCTCATTTGTAGTATAAAATTCAGAGGGTGATGGGTTTTTCTTGACACATCAACATTTTTTTTGCATTTCTATATCCTGCTTTCTTCATTTTTTTAATCTGACATGCGATGTAACATTCAGTCACATTTGCATAATGATGTGCTTTCTATCAACTCTTCTGTCTACCTGGGTATTTTCTTACAAATTGTTAACTATATCAAATAGCTCACTCCTTTCCACAAAATTGTTTTTTTCTTTGAGATTTTCAAAGCACAAGCCAGGATAGTAGTAAACAAGAGCTCATCTCAAGATTCTGCTATATGGTATACTTCAGTGTTGTTCTTAGAATATATGCACCTACCCATGGGTGGTATACTTCAAAACTGATGACAATCCAGGACATAGCATCTTTGGATGGATTATTTCTAGAGACTTACACATTCTGTTTAAGATAATGTTAAATATATACATTATTGCATTATGGACAATTGTTTTAAGTTATCTTTGACATAAATTTTCAGACATTGATTAAGTCCACTGCCTGCCACAGAACCTAACAAGAAACTAATGTATGACTGGATGATTCTGTAGCATCTGTAAGCATCTGTCATCTTGTCATCAAGAACACTTATTTTTCTCTGATCAGTTCTCCATGTTCACTTACAGAAGCAACTAAATAATACATAATGCCCTCAAAGATCTACATTATTTCTCAGATACTAATTCTTCCTGCCTAATCGATTCTGCTATGAAAGGCAGTATTGCACATTATTCTTACTGGGAATGAGGAAGGCACATTAGGAAGTTGCATTAACCCTCATGGAAACAGGGTTCCATTAATAAATTACCAACCAGTTCAGTATGCTAACTGGTATTTGCAAGCAAATTCTGTTTTTCAGCCCCAAACAGATGTTTTTCTTCTCAATATATCTAAACACAGAAGCAAGCAAAAAGATTAGCTATCATACAGACAATTACATTAGGGGTCAGATCTTAACAACTAAATTGGTTGGTGTATGGAAATATAGCTCATCTTATTCCTCCACTCTGGAATTCTGTGCTTTCTCTAACACTAGCCTTTTTATTCATTTCACTCATAGGTCTGTACATGCCTCTTTAAATCCTTGGAGACATGTGTGTGTATATATAATACATACATACATATACGTATATATGAAGTAAGCATTTGTGTACATCAGTATTAATGTGGACTGAGAAAGAGGTAAATCCTGGGCCCTGCAGTATTTAAAGCTGCTCATAGGGGAAAAATGTTTACATATTCAATACCAGCCCCATCTTTTGACATCTACATTGCACACTGCTGCAGGGCTCTCACTAGAAGATTCTCTGTCCTTCATAAAAACAGGCTCACTATATCTAAGCATAGAGCCTGCAATTGTATGGGGGAAATCAAGCCAAGCAAATTACAGGCAGCCCAAGAGTAAATTAAGTCTATGTAAAACATGTTAACAACTATAGATATTAAGAATTAGACAACTGAAGTTTTATCTACTGTTCTTTTATCTACAGAGTGTCTACTTTTTAATGAAGCTTGTAAACAAAATCATTCCCTTGGTGGTCAGTGGACAAATAATAAAGATTATTAAGGACTCAAACATAATACTGGTTAACATATCTTGATTTGGGTATTTATTTTCTAGAAACTTTTTATCACTTAAAATGAACATTTCATTCTGAATAAGTGATGCATAAAAATATTGCTATTTAGGAAAGTAAAGTTCAAACCTTATTTCATTCCAAATTCTATTACTACTCAGGTCCCTGCTCATTCATGGCTGTCACTCAACTGAGCAAACTGTAGTGTTCATACTCTCCTAGCATCACACACACACACACACACACACACACACACACACACACACACACACACACACACACACTCTTAGCAGCTTTACCATTAGGCATTTACACTGTCACTGTTAGCCTTTTCACCATACCTCAATCACCAAAAATCAGTGTATACCTGTTCTAGAATGCTTAGTGAGGTTCAGATTCATGTAGCCTGCAAACAACTACAGGAAATTATAAGGCAACTTGGAAACCTTCTCTTTTGACTAATTTCTCATCTGTTGCCAAGGAGTGTCTGTTTTGCCTATGCTCCTGTCATTGCTATTTCACTGGTGAGGAAAAAGCATTTATCTGGTGAATCTGGTCAGTGTAAATTGCTAACCCAGAAAACACTTAGACTCTTAGAATCTCTGAATTGTAAGGGTCTTTAGAGATCATCTAGCCAAAATTCTTAACTTGGGGTCTGTAAACTCTTACATACATACAGAGAGAGAGAGAGAGAGAGAGAGAGAGAGAGAGAGAGAGAGAGAGAGAGAGAGGTCTATGTCTATGTCTATGTCTATCTATGTGTATGTAAAGTTTACAGACCCTAGGTTAAGAATCCTAGCTATATAATCCATACTGTGTATATGTGTATATATATTATATGTGTCTGTGTGTATATGAATATTCTGCATGTATATGTACACAGATATACATGTATATATTTGATAATATTTCAATGTAATTGGTTACCTTTGTAATCCATGTATTTTATCTTCTGCATTTAAAAACGTCATTCAAGAAAGGTTCCATGAGTTTCACTAGACTGGCAAAGGGGTCCATGACAAAAAATATTAAGAATTTTTGATATAGTCCATGTAGGAATCTTAATCATAGTAAATAATAATAATAATAATTTACACGTGTTTATAGTACATTCTTCATAGAAGCACTATTAGATAGTGTAAATATTATTATTCCCATTCTATAGGTAGGTAAACTGACGCTCTGAGATGAAGCCCTGTGCCCAGGATCTCACAGCTAATGAAAAATACTACTGAAGTAGTATTTAATGATTTAAACACAGGTATCCTTTGGGTTCAATGCTCTTTCCACTATGCCGTGCTACTTCTCATTCTTGATGAGTAGTCCTCCAGCCCCACCTTGAACACCTCTAATGATGGGGCAATATGATCTTATATGACAACCTAATTCTGGTTACTGCATGTTTTTATGCTTCAGTAATAAAAGGACCTGTAATTTCATTGCTGTGACCACTCCTTCCACTGATTCAGATCGCAGTCCCTTAGCAGATTGGTCATGGTGTGTTATTATAGTCCAAAAACAAACAGTGTTTGAAGCTGTGCAACTCCAAGATCAGAATGATTCTAAGATAGTAGACATATAGATCATTACCTGGTCTGTTCTTGAAACTTTTCCAGAATGATGGCGCCTCCCAGAAATTGTCCTCCACGGGCATAGCTTTAAGACTCTAAGGGAACCACCACACCATGATTCATTCAATATTCAATAAACATTTATTAATTATTTACCATGTGCCAGGCATTATACCAGATGTCAGGGATCCATACACAAAAGCTACAAAGTCTGTGTCATCAAGAAGCTTATATTCTACTGAGAAGAGAGAGAAGGAAACAAAATGTATATGGAAGATTAAGTACAAATTTGGAGATTGGGGAAGGGCGCTAGAATCTGGGGGTGGGATGATAGTAAGAATAGGCCCTTGTATAGGAGGGGACACTTGAGTTGAGCTTTAAAAGAAGTTAGAGATTCTTCAAGGTGAAAGTGAAGAGGGGATGCATTCCAGAAATGGGAAATAGTTTGTGCAAAAGCATGGAGATAGAAGATAGAATGTTATCACGTACAACACATGGTAAGCAGGCCAGTTTGGCTAAAATGTAAAGGAGAATAAAGTACAATAAGCCTGGAAAGGCAGTTTGGAGAAGTTTGTATTTTGCCCCAGAGGCAAGAGGGAAACCTTGGAGTAGGGTACTAGTGGAAGGATTGCTGTCCATTCTGCCTACATTTACCTTGACTTCTGTGTGTCACAAATAAGCCAGTTTAATAATAATAACTAACATTTATATAGCACTTTAGATTTGCAAAGTGCTTCACAAAAACTATCTCATTTAAACAACCCTGGAAGGTAGGTACTATTATCATTTCCCATTTTGTTGTTGTGTCCTTTTTTCATTCTGGTCCAACTCTTCATGACTCCATTTGGAGTTTTCATGGCAAAAATACTGGAGCGGTTTGCCATTTCCTTCTTCAGCTCATTTTACAGATGAGGAAATTGAGGCAAATAGGGTTAAGTGACTTGCCCAGGGTCACATAGCTAGTAAGTGTCTGAGGCTTGATTTGAATTTAGGTCCAGTTGCCAGGTCTAGACAGGTTCCTTCCTCCAAGTCCATCACTATCCACTGTACCACGTAGCTGTTCTAACCAGTTCATAGCAAGCAAGCACTTTGACCTGTATGTCAAGAAGCAGCATAAATGTGCCCCTGCCCTCTCTGTCATTTCCATTCCTTGTAATGTTCATCTAGAGCAGGAGCTCTTTTTAGCCCACCTGAAACAATTTACTAGGCCATGTTTTCAGAGTGAATGTCCCAGCAATAAATTCAGGAAGCTTCTACTTCTCTCCTCTGACAGGTCTGCAATTAGATGTTGTGCTACCCTCAGAGTGCCCTGGGCAGGGAGGGGGTTGTGTTTCTGGCTCCATCATAGACTTTGGTACAGCAGCAATACCGAGCTCCTTTTAAAAGCTTTAAATTTTTTTTTGAATGTTTCCTTTGTAGGGTCGTTGTTCAAGGGAGAACTGCAAGTATCTTCACCCACCGACACATTTAAAAACCCAACTAGAAATTAACGGGAGGAACAATTTGATCCAACAAAAAACTGCAGCAGCAATGCTTGCCCAGCAGATGCAATTTATGTTTCCAGGAACACCACTTCATCCAGTTGTGAGTACATTTTATCTAATGATGGCACTGATGGTTAAAGTGTGGGAACAATCAGAACCATATTGACCCGAAAAAAAATGTCCTCCAAATGGGCCCCTTTAATTGGAACCAAAACTAATATACTCTGGTAGCTTCAGAGAAGATAGAAAAGGGCCGTGTATATATTTATCTGGGAACAAGTATGATGGCATGGTTTGGAAAGGACAATTTTCTAAATTACATCAAGAAAGACTTGGATTGGCTGCAAATTCCATATGTCAACAGTCAGGAAATGGCTGTCCTATTTATTTATTTCTCCCATGAATTATTTTCTTGTGGTTTAATGGAAAAGTGAGAGCTGGAAGTAGCAGCTTAGTGGAGAATTTGCTGAACTTTATTTCATGAGGGTATTTACCCATATGGTAAACTTAGTCTGTTTTATTGTCATTGACTTCAAACCTTATGGGACAACTGCTTTTCCCTCCTTTAACTTTTTCACTCCATTAGATTGTAAGCTCCTTGAGGGCAGGACTGTTGCCCTTTTTCGTATCCCCAGTGCTTAGCACAGTGCCTGGCACATACTAGATGTTTATTAAATGTTTATTGATTCATTTATTGATTGGGGTCAGGGAAATTGGATTCAAAATATTGCTCTGCTACTTATTAGCTGGTCAAGTCACAACTTCTCTGAACCTCAGTTTCACAAGTACATAGGCTTGATGCCAGAAGACCATCTAGCTCAACCTACTCATTTAACAGATGAGAAAATTAAAGAACAGAGAGGTAAAGGGACTTGAGACACAGAACTTCTAGGTAGGAAGCAGAATTTGAACCCAACTCTTCCTGACTCCAACTCCAAGAGCTCTGTTCACTTCTTTTCAGCTAGGAGAGGATTGGATTGAATAAAAGTCTAGGGTCTCTCCACTTACCCCAGACTGATGCTTATGGAAAGAATGTCAATATTTGGAATGGTTTTTTGGTAATATCAGAGGCATATGTACAGACATAGGATAGCAGACCAAGGAGAGAAAATTAAGTTGTGGATTAGCCCATAGAAGGTAAACAATGCCATAAGGTCTTCCCTGTCTCTTATACTGCAAACATAGTCCCATCTTTCAGGATTCCTTCCCTGAGGATGTGGTGGGCGAGAGAGTGGCCCTAAAACTGAATTCCTAGGAGTGGGGGATGAAAGGAAGGAAACGCAATAAGCTTATAAACACTTATTTTGTAAAATGCATGTTCATCCCCTTTTCACATAATGTTTGAAAGCACTGATTTTCCCTAAAGGGTTGTCAATTGTTTTCAGGGATGCAAATGAGAGTTTGGCAGAGGGAGTATATTTGACTCTACTAGGTTTGATTCATGTTTATGAATTGTTCGTTTAAAAAGACCAATTTAAAAAAAAAATACTTATGTGAGTCTTTGGAGGTTTGAAAGCGAACCACATACACAAAAAGCACTATTGTTTAAAAAATCAGTCTTTATTGTGTGAAAAATTATATTTTACTGAAAGCCCTGAAATTAAAATAGTATGCTTTGGATAGGAATATGCTTGGATTTATTCTTATTTGGTTGAGGATTAGATGCTTTGGTCCATACCTAAACTCTCCATGCCTTTGCACGGCACAGAGTCCCCAAGATTACAGAGCAATTCCTGCCTGGGCTAAGGAATACTTACTTAAGCCCTACCTTCTTTCCCATAATATTGTTGATTGCATTATATTCATTTTTTTTCCTGTGTTAAGTGCCTCGCACTTTGATTTTCTAGCTACAGTATTCCCTTTGTCCTTTTGAGTAAGTGCTACATAATCCAGTTACCAGAAGCCTGTGATTAATTTCATATTGACTGAGAAATACATTTACTAGATGTTGAACAGGGCATACAAAAGACAGTCCTGTTTTATCAGATCATATGTTCTAATTACAATGGGAACAAATATAACTTTTTATTTTAAAATCTTTCCAGTTTACTGGAAAGCTAGAATAGTTGAGTTCAGTGGGGGCATATATGGGAAGACAAAGTTCTTGTTATGATTTCAACAATCTGACCTCTTACTAATCAAGAAGTAACAATTTGTGGAAGAACTGGACTTTGAATGATGGGGTGGTTTTGTTGACTAGGAGGCTCAAAGGATAAAATGAGGAAGAAGAAAAAAATGAAGATTTTTACTTAGTGGAGGCCAAGTAGGTGATCTTGAAGTTGGTGAGCATAGCAATCCCGAGATCCTTGAGTTTACTTTTATTGCTATTCTCTCTGGGTGTCTCTCCCATATCTGTATGTCTGTCTCTCATTTGTTTAACCTTTTCGTATATAAACTCTGATAATAGTGTTATCTATTCTTCTGGCTATCACTCGCACCCACAGATGCTCATGCCTGTCTTCTATTTCATTCATTGTTGTTGTTGTTCAGCTGCGTCTGATTCTTCATGACCCCATGGACCACAGCACAATGACAAAGGTACTGTGGTGGTTTGCCATATCCTTCTCCAGTGGATTAAGACAAACAGAGATTAAGTGACTTGCTGAGGGTCACATAGCTAGGAAGTGTCTGAGGCCATTGAACTCACATCTTCCTGACTCTAGGTCTAGTGCTCAATCCACTGAGCCACCTAGCTGTCTCCATTTCACTCATACTGATTTCTAATTCCTCTTTTAAAGAAGGGTTTTCTTTCCATCCCCTTTCTAATTCCTTACCCTTTCAAAGACTGTCTAGAATATCTTCCCATGAATGTTGATTTTCAATAAATATAGTAAGGTGCAGTAGAAAATATATACCCCAACTCTTGGGATTCTAATACTGTTCTTTCTAATTCTTCTCATTGCTTGATACTACTCTCGGCATCCTATTTTGACTTTGAGCCTCTGGAACTTTGTACTATCACCACCTAACCATGATTTCCCAAATACCCAACCACTTCTTCCCATCCCCACTAGGAGTTAACACTGAGGCCCGTGACTGCCCTTTGTAAATGCTGATCTCCTGAAGTGTCCAAACCTCACATCCTCCACCTTCAGCAAGATTTATTGCAAGCCATTTGAATCACCCTTTCTTGACTCAGAGTGTCAACTTAATGCTATTGTCTAATTGTTTCCTTTCTGATAGTTATAGTCAACTCTTGAAATAACTTGCTAATTGGTCTTCCAGACTCAAGTCCCCATCCAGTCCATCCTCCACTCAACTGTCAAGCTGATCTTCCTAAAGTGGAAGACTGGCCATGTGACCCCACCCCTTCCAATAAACTCCAGTGGCTCCCCATTCCCTCCAGGATCGAATATAAAATGCTCCATTTGGATTATAAAGCCCTCCATAATCTGTCCTCTTCTTACCTTTCTTCTTACACTTTACTGCCCTCCCCTACCCCCACCCACCGACTACTCTGAAACACAGTGACAATAGTTTTATTGCTGTTCTCTCCTATGCTTGGAATTCTCTCCCTCCTCTTCTCCCCTTCCCAGCTTCCCAGGCTAGACGGTTGAGTCTCAGCCAAAATCTCACCTTCTGTAAAAAAGCTTTTCCTGATCCTTCTTGAGGCTGGTTCCTTCCTTCTGTTAATTATTGCCAGTTTATCCTGTATATATCATGTTTATATATGGTTTGGGTTTTTTGTTTTGTTTGTTTGTTTGTTTGTTTGTTTGTTTGTTTGTTTACATATTGGTATCCTTGAGAGCAGGGAGTGCCTTGTTGTCCTTCTGATATTATTTTTTTTAATCTTTTCTTTGTATCCCTAGCTTTTAGCACAGCACCTGACACTTAGTAGGTGCTTAATAAATTTTAATTGACTGATTTTATCAAGAATACTCTGGATTTTCATGTAGATAATTCTCACATTCTATATAGATTAAGTAAGCACGCATATGAGAGCATCTATTTATGTTTTCTTTGTCACCTTTTGAGGGCATTAATATTATCCTTGTTTTTATTTTCCATTTCTTTGCATTCTTTCCTCCTTAGGATATCTTTTAAACTACACTTTTAGTACTTTAAAGATTGCATTGCCTCCAGCAAGGATTTCCCTAGTATGTAGTTAGCTGATCCAGCTGTTCTTCCCAATTTTCCTTTCCTAAATACTATTTCTACTTTCTTGTCAGTCATGTTGGGAACTGAGGTGTTTAGGTTCAAATGTGGTAGATCCTATATTCCTGATTATGGAATAGATCATTATTTAATTGTAGAATGTCTGCACAAACCATGGTATGCAAATGTTATGGGATATTACCTGGACATAAAGAACAGCAAATGTAAAGAATTCATAGAAATATGGCAAGGCATACAAAAGTAATGCAACAGAAAGAAAATAGATCTAAAAGTACATAACTACTAAAAGTGTAAATATAGTCAACGGAGGCAAAAGACAAAACAAAACTAACCACCCTCTTGTCATAGGGAAGGGATAATTTTGTTATCATACCAGGAAAGGTAAAGGGTACATTCTGTCTCTCTGTTAACTAATGAGTAAAGAACAAAATAATAGGATCACTCGTAATCACAGGATCAGATAGTTTTGCTTAACTGTTTGCAGGGAATGTATTTTGTTGTGAGGTGGGTTTTTTTTTAATACATCTCTCAGTGACAAAGAAGAAATTCATGAAAGATTGTCCAGAATAAGAATAAAATTTATACATCTCATAAAGTGGTCACATTTGCATTTTCCCTCATCTAGGATATTGAAAAGATAGCTGTTAGTGACATAAATGGTCATCATTCATATTATCAACAAGTTCATAAACTTTTATCTTTTGATTAAACTTGACAGAAAAAAACCCCATAGATTTCTAAATACTTCAGTGTTTAGTTCAGGTTCAATTCAGTGAAATCCATAACAAAGAGAAAGGCTTTACTATCTACTCTGGAAAAAGAAAATGAGTGTTGCCCAGATTATGACTTGGATACCATTAAATTGGGCCATAAATATTTATATCTTGAAAAAAAATTATAAAATAATAATTAATTGAGTCTAGAATTGAATAGAATGAAGAATTAATTATATTTGGGATTTCAATAACTACAATCTACCCAATA